GGAGGTCAGCTGTGACCAGCAGTGCTGCAGATTTCGAATGGAAAGGGAGAACATGCAGATCAAGAATAGGGCTCCACAGTCACCTACGGACTACACTTGGAAGACAATCCTATTCGGATCTCCTAAGAAAGTTCTATCTTATCTATTTTAGGTTCATCTACTCTGATGCAATTCTGATTTGCAGCTATTGCAAGCCTTTGGCTGAACTGCATCCATTGCTCCAAGCAATGCAAGAAATCAAAAGCAAAAGATATTAACAAAAGAAATCAGATATTTTTTTAAAATTACATTCACTCCAATTAAGCTGCTCTCCACGCTTTTTAAAACCTTATATTAGGCGGGTGTGGCTTTAAATCCCCCCCTTTCGGTTGGAAATGAACTCTTCCACCCCACCCCTACTCACCTGGTTCTTTTAGAAGCGTCCAACCACACTGCGCCTGCGCAAACTCTTCTGTTTCACGCGCGCCTCAGAATATAGTTGTCTATAATACTGCCTGATGGCCCCCAACGGAAGTATACACTCCCTCCTTCTACGGAAGTGGGTTTTTTTCTTCTTTCCCGCTCGCTTTTCAAATTATCTCATTGTAGTGAATAATTGAAATCCTTCCGTTTGTCTTCAAACGTTGTCATGTCATAGTAGAATACAATGTTTTGTTTTTTTTTCTTCAGGCAATACAATAGACAAATCCTTAAGCGAGAAGCCCCAAGACTCTTGGGCCAAGAGGGAGGGTATCATTTGCATATGCGTTTTCCCATCAGCACTGGCAAGAAGGGAGAAATTAAAACGGGATTTTTTTCCATTATAATATTAAAATATGAAAGATAAATGGAAGACATAAGATTAAATATGTTACAATATTTGCAATCTGGTTATCTATGAATAACTCGATTGTAAATTATGGTCACCCTAATCTTAAAATATACTGATATTTATGCTTTAAATAGGATGTGAAGAGAGCTGGCATTTGTGCTCGCTTCGGCAGCACATATACTAAAATTGGAACGATACAGAGAAGATTAGCATGGCCCCTGCGCAAGGATGACACGCAAATTCGTGAAGCGTTCCATATTTTCTTGCCAAAATAGATCCTTCTTTTGCTTACTTTCCATCCTCTATCGCAGTGTTTCTCAACCTGGGGGTCGGGACCCCTGTGGGGGTCGCGAGGGGGTGTCAGAGGGGTCGCCAAAGACCATCAGAAAACATATATTTTCTGTTGATCATGGGTTCTGTGTGGGAGGTTTGGTCCAATTCTATCATTGGTGGGGTTCAGAATCTTATTTCATTGTAGGTGAACTATAAATCCCAGCCACTACAGCTCCCAAATGTCAAGATCTATTATTCTCAAACTCTTCCAGTGTTCTCATTTCAGCATATAGAGTATTCGTGCCAAGTTTGGTCCAGATCCATCATTGTTTGAGTCCACAGTGCTCTCTGGATGTAGGTGAACTACAACTCCAAAAATTCAAGGTCAATGTCCACCAGATCCTCCCAGTATTTTCTCTTGGCCATGGGAGTTCTGTGTACCAAGTTTGGTTCAATTTCATCATTGGTGATATTCAGAATGCTCTTTGATTGTAAGGTAAGGTAAAGGTAGTCCCCTGACATTAAGTCCAGTCATGTCTGACTCTGGGGTGTGGTGCTCATCTCCATTTCTAAGCCGAAGAGCCAGCGTTGTCCATAGACACCTCCAAGGTCATGTGGCCGGCATGACTGCATGGAGCGCCCTTACCTTCCCGCCGGAGCGGTACCTATTGATCTACTCACATTTCCATGTTTTCGAACTGCTAGGTTGGCAGAAGCTAGGGCTGACAGCGGAAGCTCACGCCGCTCCCCGGAATCGAACCTGTGACCTTTCGATCAACAAGCTCAGCAGCTCAGTGCTTTAACCCACTGTGCCACCGGGGGCTCCTTTGATTGTAGGTGAACTATAAATCCCAGCCACTACAGCTCCCAAATGACAAAATCAATCCACCCACAACCCCACCAGTATTCAAATTTGGGCATATTGGGTATTCAAAAATACATCCTGCATATCAGATATTTCCATTACGATTCAAAACAGTAGCAAAATTACAGTTATGAAGTAGCAATGAAAATGTTATGGTTGGGGGTCACCACAACGTGAGGAACTATACTAAGGGGTCGCAGCATTAGGAAGGTTGAGAACCACTGTTATCAATTCATTTGCCTTTGTTTTTCATACGCAATGTTTTGGATCTTTTCTTTATAGAGCTGCCAAGCTGCAAAGCCAGATTGGAAGGCTAAGTAGGGAAATTGGGAAAAGAAAGGCATTATAGAATCATAGAGTTGGAAGAGACCTCATGGGTCATCCAGCCCAACCCCCTGCCAATAGCAGGAATATTGCACCCCTGACAGATGACTTAATTAATTATTATATATTAATAATGTCCTGGAGAATCAGATAATAATAACAACAACAACAACAACAACAATGTCCTGGAGAATCAGCTAATCATAATATGAATATAATAATATATTATATATTATGATTAATATAATAATAATACCCTGGAGAATCATATGATGATGATGATGATGATAATGATGTCCTGGAGAATCAGCTAATAATAATAATTATTATTATTAGAAACCTGGTGGGATGACTCCTATCGCTGGAATGTAGACATGGAGGGCTATAACCTCTTTCACAGAAACCGAACAAAGGGGAGAGGAGGCGGAGTAGCCTTATATGTCAAAAACTCTTATGCTGCAGAAGAGATGCAAGAGAGCAATCCGGGAAACCAGCTTGAAAGCATCTGGATAAGAATCAAGGGAACTGGGACTCAAAAAGATCTCGTTGTAGGCGTCTACTACAGACCTCCAAGCCAGGAGGAAGAACTTGATTAAGTCTTCTGCCAACAGTTGACCAAACAGGCACAGAGAAGAGATGTAGAAGTCATGGGCGATTTCAACTATCCCGATATTTGCTAGAAAACAAACTCGGCCAAGAGTACAAGGTCCAACAAAGGTCTCTTCCAACTCTTTGATACTATGATTCTATGAATATAATAATAATAATGCCCTGGAGAATAATAATAATAATAATAATAATACGATGATGATGACGTTTTTCATACGCAATGTTTTGGATCTTTTCTTTATAGAGCTGCCAAGCTGCAAAGCCAGATTGGAAGGCTAAGTAGGGAAATTGGTAAAAGAAAGGCATTATAGAATCATAGAGTTGGAAGAGACCTCATGGGCCATCCAGTCCAACCCCTGCCAAGAAGCAGGAATATTGCATTCAAATCACCCCTGACAGATGGCCATCCAGCCTCTGTTTAAAAGCTACCAAAGAAGGAGCCTCCACCATACTCCGAGGCAGAGAGTTCCACTGTTCAACGGCTCTCACAGTCAGGAAGTTCTTCCTCATGTTCAGATGGAATCTCCTCTCTTGTAGTTTGAAGCCATTCCGTGTCCTAGTCTCCAGGGGAGCAGAAAACAAGCTTGCTCCCTCCTCCCTATGACTTCCTCACATATTTATACATGGCTATCATATCTCCCCTCAGCCTTCTCTTCTTCAGGCTAAACATGTAAGGCATCACAGGTTTAGGGTGCAGGGTCCCTTTTCGAAGAAATCCACAGAGTCCAATAGGTTCATGTAAGACACCGTTTATTCAACCTGATCCGCATGAGGCGAACAGACAGCACTTCCAGAAGTGCTTTCACAGACTGCTGCGCCCTCCTCGGCTTTTTGCAAACCTTTATACTCAGGTAATACAAGGGGTTTTTTGGTCATGGAAAGTACTCTCTTTCCAGCTCCCCTCCCTTGACCTTTTGAGGGAAAGTACCTTCTTGCACCTGCAGACTTTGCGCTTAACCACAAACCAACTTCCTATGTAAGCTCAAACTTTGTATGACCTCTACATGCAGATGCAGTTTAAGTGTTTGCATACCACTTCTGAAGTCGATAGGAACTTTAGGAGGGTCTGCCCCAGGAGGAGAGGGGCTAGGCGAGGCTCAAGGCGAGGAGAGGGGCTAGGCGAGGCTCAAGGGCCCGGCCCCTTTGGGAAGAGGATCGCCTGGCAACGAGGCAAGAAAGCCGAGGCTCCCCCCGGACTGCTAGGGCTGTTGTGAGCTGAGGGGGCGCTCCTCAAGTGGCGGTCGAGGAGCATTTACAGAGGCGCCTCTGCGCCCTTGGCAAAAAAAAAGTGTTCTGCGACCGCTTACTTCGCGTAATGGACGAGCCGCCCCTGTCCAGAGAGCACTGTGGACTCAAACAATGATGGATCTGGACCAAACTTGGCACGAATACTCTATATGCTGAAATGAGAACACTGGAAGAGTTTGAGAATAATAGACCTTGACATTTGCGAGTTGTAGTTGCTGGGATTTATAGTTCACCTACAATGAAATAAGATTCTGAACCCCACCAATGATAGAATTGGACCAAACCTCCCACACAGAACCCATGATCAACAGAAAATATATGTTTTCTGATGGTCTTTGGCGACCCCTCTGACACCCCCTCGTGACCCCCACAGGGGTCCCGACCCCCAGGTTGAGAAACACTGCAATAGAGGATGGAAAGCAAGCAAAAGAAGAATCTATTTTGGCAAGAAAATATGGAACGCTTCACGAATTTGCGTGTCATCCTTGCGCAGGGGCCATGCTAATCTTCTCTGTATCGTTCCAATTTTAGTATATGTGCTGCCGAAGCGAGCACAAATGCTAACTCTTTTCACATCCTATTTAAAGCATAAATATCAGTATATTTTCATCTTATGGTGATTATGATTCTATCTTATTTTGGTAGTTCATACTTTGTTTGGATTTTCATTTCTTTGGAAATACTTTCGAAACTTCACGTCGCGTATTTATTTTTTTCAAAGCAGCCCTCCAAAGAAAGAAAGCTTTGCATTCTGGATATGCAAATATAGCTCCACCCCCTCTTTCCTTGCTCTGCCCCTTCCCCAAGCCAATGGATGGCAAGGAAACAAGGGTTGGGTTTGACTGCAAGATCTGCCTCTTCCCTGTCTTTCCATACCCAAGCTGACGTCACTTCCTGCCCCTCCACCCTTTTATTTATTTTAAAGGCTCCCTTTAAGGGAAGGGAAGCCATGGTCGAGCTGAAAGGAGGAGAAGAAGAAGAAGCCTCCAAAGGGGCCCAGGATCAGGCCCAGCAGCCACGATCCGGCCCTTTAAATAAGGCCCAGGGGTGAGTCAAGAAGAGGAAGTCCTCAATCTATATAGATTTTCAAATGGCTCAGTTTTTTTAAAGTCTTCTTTCTTGGAGAATGGCCTAGCAAAGGATTCAGTTGGCTTGGGGTTCATATACCTTTTAGGGTCTGGGAAGCTAAGCAGGGTCGGGCCCTATTCGGAGTTGGAGGGTGTGAGTTCGAATCCGCCGGAAGACAGTTATTATCCAAATGTATTAATACTAATATTTTCATAAATTCTTAATTATATATAGTGGCAAGCCCATATATATCAAGTGTTTTCCGATCTATTGATTATTGAACAAGCCTGATCTTTTCTCAATAGTAACCCAAGTTTTATTCAGCTTCCAAAGATTAGGAATTAGGAAAAGAAGGGGAACCCTAAAGGTCATCTAGGCCAACCATAGAATCATAGAATCAAAGAGTTGGAAGAGACCTCATGGGTCATCCAGTCCAACCCCCTGCCAAGAAGCAGGAATATTGCATTCAAATCACCCCCGACAGATGGCCATCCAGCCCCTGTTTAAAAGCTTCCAAAGAAGGAGCCTCCACCACACTCCGGGGCAGAGAGTTCCACTGCTGAACGGCTCTCACAGTCAGGAAGTTCTTCCTCATGTTCAGATGGAATCTCCTCTCCTTGTAGTTTGAAGCCATTGTTCTGTGTCCTAGTCTCCAAGGAAGCAGAAAACAAGCCAGCTCTGTTTGGAACCATTGTTCCGTGTCCTAGTCTCCAAGGAACCCTGTGGCTGAAGAAGAAATGCATGACAGCAATCCGGGAAACCAGCTTGAAAGCATCTGGATAAGAATCAAGGGAACTGGGACTCAAAAAGATCTCGTTGTAGGCGTCTACTACAGACCTCCAAGCCAGGAGGAAGAACTAGATGAAGTCTTCTGCCAACAGTTGACCAAACAGGCACAGAGAAGAGATGTAGTAGTCATGGGCGATTTCAACTATCCCGATATTTGCTGGAAAACAAACTCGGCCAAGAGTACAAGGTCCAACAAATTCCAACTCTTTGATACTATGATTCTATGAATATAATAATAACAATGCCCTGGAGAATAATAATAATAATAATACGATGATGATGACGATAATGATGTCATAGAATCAAAGAGTTGGAAGCTTTTAGACAGAGGCTGGATGGCCATCTGTCAGGGGTGATTTGAATGCAATATTCCTGCTTCTTGGCAGGGGGTTGGACTGGATGGCCCATGAGGTCTCTTCCAACTCTTTGATTCTACGATTCTATGAATATAATAATAATAATGCCCTGGAGAATAATAATAATAATAATACGATGATGATGATGATGACGATAATGATGTCATAGAATCAAAGAGTTGGAAGGGACCTCATGGGCCATCCAGTCCAACCCCCTGCCAAGAAGGAATATTGCATTCAAATCACCCCTGACAGATGGCCATCCAGCCTCTGTTTAAAAGCTTCCAAAGAAGGAGCCTCCACCACACTCCGGGGCAGAGAGTTCCACTGCTGAACGGCTCTCACAGTCAGGAAGTTCTTCCTCATGTTCAGATGGAATCTCCTTTCTTGTAGTTTGAAGCCATTGTTTCGTGCCCTAGTCTCCAAGGAAGCAGAAAACAAGCTTGCTCCCTCCTCCCTGTGGTTCCTCTCACATATTTATACATGGCTATCATGTCTCCTCTCAGCCTTCTCTCCTTCAGGCTAAACATGCCCAGTCCTTAAGCCGCTCCTCATAGGGCTTGTTCTCCAGACCCTTGATCATTTTAGTCGCTCTCCTCTGGACACATTCCAGCTTGTCAATATCTCTCTTGAATTGTGGTGTCCAGAATTGTCCAACCCCTCTTCCCAAGGTCATATATATGTGTGTGTGTGTTTGTGTGTGTGGTTACTATTATACACACTAGCAAGCCCAAACCAGATTGGCAACTTCAGGTGCCAACTGTTTGCTTCCGCGTTGTTGGCCAGCCACAATTTGCAAAGGGATGGGGGTGAACTACAAATCCCAATCAAGTCCTGGCTCTTCGATTCTTTATTTTATTTATTTATTTAAAAAATTATATTTCGCCCTTCTCACCCCGAAGGTGAGAGGACAGGAGGGAGGGGGCCGACTTGATCTCACCAGGAAGGGAGGTCCATAGCTGGGGAGCAATCACCGAGAAGGCCCTGTCTCTCGTCCCAACCAATCGTGCCTGTGACAATGGCGGGACGGATTCTATTTTGCCTATATACCTATTTTGCCTAGGTGATTTATTATTTATTTATTTAAAAGTTTTTAAATAAAAAAATATTTATTTAAAAATAAATATTATTTATTTATTTAAAAGCACAAGCCAATCAAGGGGGTCCCAGTGGTGATCGGCACACTGGGTGCAGTGCCTCAAGACCTTGGCTTGCACTTAAAAACAATTGGCACTTGCAAAATTACTATCTGTCAGCTGCCTTCTCACCTCTCTTGAGGGACTTAGACCGGTTTCCAACCATAATATCACATACAATCAATAAAACATCATAATACATATTAGAGTAAAACAGTAAAACAGCAATTACAATCAATAACTATAACGGTCAGTCGTCACACTAAAATCGTTGTTCATCATCCTCCATCCATATCTCAGGGTATTGGCTCACTCGTCGAATGCCTGTCTCCATAACCAAGTCTTCACCTGTTTCCTAAATGTCAGGATAGACGGGGCAGTTCTGATCTCCAGTGGGAGAGAGTTCCAGAGTCGTGGGGCCACCACCGAGAAGGCCCTGTCCCTCGTCCCCACCAGACGCGCTTGCGAGGCCGGTGGGACCAAGAGCAGGGCCTCTCCAGACAATCTTAATAATCTTGATGGTTCATAGGGGAGAATACGTGATATAATTATTACTATTATTAATATTGAATGATGATGATGACACTACTAATAGCTGAGGATGAACTACAAATCCCTATCGTCTGAACCCAATCTTAATTAGAAAGATAATATCATTGTTGTTGTTGTTATTGAAGAAGAAGAAGAATAGATTTGACAGGCCCAAAGGCATACATATATCTGCATTAAATAATAAGAATTATTAATATTATTGACGAGAAGCAACTGGAAAAGCTTACACGTGTGAGGATTTAAAGATCGAATGGCAAAGACTCTGGCACAAGCCAATCAAGGGGGTCTCAGTGGTGATCGGCACACTGGGTGCAGTGCCTCAAGACCTTGGCTTGCACTTAAAAACAATTGGCACTGACAAAATTGCCAGCTGTCAGCTGCAAAAGGCCACCCTACTCGGATCTGCACGCATTATTTGCCGATACAATCACACAGTCCTAGACACTTGGGAAGTGTCCGATGTGTGATCCAATACAAAAGCCAGCATAGTGATCTTGGTTGCTGTGTACTAATCTTGTTATGTATCTAATAATAATAATAATAATAATAATAATAATAATAATAATAATAATAATAATACTGTGATGATGATGGCAGTGATGACACTACGAATTGCCTAATGATTGTTATTGCAATACTACTGCAACTAGATGGGGGGGGGGGCGAATGGGCAAAGGACCTTGGGGAACTACAACTCCTGTGGTTCAATTGCTTCAAATGGTCCAACGATCGGCAGCCAGGATGCTAACAGGAGCGACACTCAGGGAGCATGCCACTCCTCTGTTGCGCCAGCTCCACTGGTTGCCAATTTGCTACCGGGCACAATTCAAAGTGCTGGCTTTAGCCTTTAAAGCCCTTAACAGTTCTGGCCCGACGTACCTGTCCGAGCGCATCTCCTCCTATGAACCAGTTAGGACATTAAGATCGTCTGGGGAGGCCCTGCTCTCGGTCCCGCCGGCTTCACAGGCTCATCTGGCGGGGACGAGAGACAGGGCCTTCTCAGTGGTGGCCCCTCGGCTGTGGAACGCCCTTCCTGCAGATATTAGCTCGACCCCTTCCTTACTGGCATTCCGGAGAAAGGTGAAGACCTGGCTGTATGAACAGGCTTTCAACTAGGCAGTGTTACTGGTTATTGATTATCGGGACACGGATAATTGGATACTGAAACTGCATTCTGATTCTATTGATGAGAACTGATGGATGATTATATTGATGTATTGATGTGGATGTTTAATTAATTGTGATGCTATGGCTTTTAAATGTCTAATGGTTCTGTATTGTGTACTCTGAAACTATTGTTGTTAACCGCTCTGAGTCGCCTAAGGGTTGAGAAGAGCGGTATACAAATGAAGTAAATAAATAAATAATATTTTACGAATTTTTTCCTCCCTTGTTTTGCAGGGGCATCGAGGGCCTTTTGTCTGGTGCCGGGTCTCCTTCCCCTGCCAAGCGGTTTTCTCCGGCCAAACGGAAACAGCATTATATCAACCAAGCGATCCGGAACTCGGACCTCGTTCCCCGGGCCAAAGGCCGCAAGAGCCTGCAGCGACTGGAGAACAGTACACCTTCCCATTCATTATATGCAGCCATACATTAATATAATATCTTAATATATTACTAGAAATATAATAATAATGCATTTTATTTTATTAATGTAATATTATAACCTGAATGTTTTTGTTAATGGATATAAGAAGGGGCAAGCTGGTTTAAATATAGTAATATTATTAGAATATAATATCTTAATATTATTAGTAGTAATATAATAATAATAATGTATTTTACCATTTATTATTTGTGGATCGGCAACCAGCAAAGCAGTGCTTTCTCTGTCCCTCAGGTAGTCATGGAGACCTGAGTGGGGGGTCTCCATGGCAACCTTTTAGTGTCATTTCTTTCCCACAACACTTTTACTGGAATTTTTCCCACACTCTTTCAGTGAGCCCTTGGATATTCCACAGACTTGATTAAATAGGAATTTACCAGAGTTGCACACAAAGCAGTCCTTTCTCTGGCCCTCAGGTTCTGAGGATGCAGTCCTCCATGACAATCCTCTGGGTCTCCATGGAAACTCTCTAGGCCTCCATGGCAACCCATCAGTCCACAGTCTTAGACTCCAACTCCCATCATCCCCAGCCTGGCTAGGAAAGGGATGAGGATGCTGGAAGTAGGCGGGACCATAGAGTGGCACCTTTGGTTGTGTGTGGACATTACGCAGCCCTCTAAATGGGGGCAAACTATAATTCCCATCATCCCTTATCATGCCAACCTTTTGAGCCAGGCCACAACAGGTATTGTGTGTCGTGTTGGGTCCCTTGTTTATTGTCGGCGACCTTCCAAGTGTGGGTGTAGTAGAAATCCCTTCATCCTCTATCAGTATCTGGCTGGTATTTTAAGTCAGATCACAATGGGTCTTGTGTGCCACGTTTGGCACAGCTCGAGCAAGCCTGTTAGGAGCTATCCTGGAACGTACTTACATTGTGATCTTCCAATACGTGGACGACCTTGGTATACATATTGCTCATTCTAAGTGAGGGCAGACTACAAATCCCATCATCCTCTATCAGTACCAAGCTGGTATTTTAAGTTGCATCGTGATGAGTCTTGTGTGCCACGTTTGGCGCAGCTCGTGAAAGCCTGATATGGGCTATCCTGGAACGTACTTACATTGCGACTTTTCTATACGTAGATGACATCAGTATACATGTTGACCACTCTGGACACATTCTTCTTTTCTTTTTTCCCAGCACGTTATTTAATGACGCTTCTGGAGAGAGATGAGTGCGCCAGCGAAGATGGGGAGTTTTCCCCACCGGCCGTCCCCAGCATCTTTGCCCAGGCCTGCAAGAATGAGACCTACATGAAGGTCGGACCCTTTGCCAAACTACAACTCCCACTGCATTATCCCACGGCACATGAGATTTACGATGTGGCTTTTTGTTGTTTTGTTTTTCTGCCAATAGATCTGGAATGACTTTGTGAACCGCTCCGGCGAGGAGCAAGAGCGGCTCCTGATCTTCTTGGAGGAGAACAAGAAGAAGAACAAGGCGGATGGACATTGGAAAGGTGGCCAAAGGGATACCCAAAGGACATCTAGTCCACCCCCATTCAGCCACAAAGAATATTAAGGGTTGCAAGAATCCCCAAAGGACATCTAGTCCATCCCCATTCATACCTACAGGAATATTAAAGGTTGAAGGGACCCCAAAGGACATCTAGTCCATCCCCATTCAGTCATACAAAGATATTAAGGGCTGAAAAGACCCCAAAGGGCATCTAGTCAATCCCCATTTTGGCCATGCAGGAATATTAGGGGTTGAAGGGACACCCAAAGACATCTAGTACATCCCCATTCGGCCATACAAGACTATTAAGGGTTTAAGGGACCCCAAAGGACATCTAGTCCATCCCCATTCAGTCATTAAGGATTGAAGGGACCCCCAAAAGATATCTAGTCCATCCCCATTCATCCATACAAGAATATTAAGGGTTGAAGGAACCTCAAAGGACATCTAGTCCATCCCCATTCAGTCATACAAAGATATTAAGGGCTGAAAAGACCCCAAAGGGCACCTAGTCAATCCCCATTTGGCCATGCAGGAATATTAAGGGTTGAAGGGACCCCCAAAGGACATCTAGTACATCCCCATTCAGCCTTACAAGAATATTAAGGGTTTAAGGGACCCCCAAAGGACATCTAGTCCATCCCCATTCAGTCATTAAGGATTGAAGGGGACCCCCAAAAGATATCTAGTCCATCCCCATTCATCCATACAAGAATATTAAGGGTTGAAGGAACCTCAAAGGACATCTAGTCCATCCCCATTCAGTCATACAAAGATATTAAGGGCTGAAAAGACCCCAAAGGGCACCTAGTCAATCCCCATTTGGCCATGCAGGAATATTAAGGGTTGAAGGGACCCCCAAAGGACATCTAGTACATCCCCATTCAGCCTTACAAGAATATTAAGGGTTTAAGGGACCCCCAAAGGACATCTAGTCCATCCCCATTCAGTCATTAAGGATTGAAGGGGACCCCCAAAAGACATCTAGTCCTTCCCCATTCAGTCATACAAAGATATTAAGGGATGAAAAGACCCCAAAGGGCATCTAGTCAATCCCCATTTGGCCATGCAGAAATATTAGGTGTTGAAGGGACCCCCAAAGAACATCTAGTACATCCCCATTCGGCCATACAAGACTATTAAGGGTTGAAAGGACTCCCAAAGGACATTTAGTCCATCCCTATTCAGCCTTACAAGAATATTAAGGGTTGAAGAGACCCCCAAAAGACATTTAGTCCATCCCTATTCAGCTTTACAAGAATATTAAGGGTTGAAGAGACCCCCAAAGGACATCTAGTACATCCCCATCCGCCATACAAGAATATTAAGGGTTGAAGGGACCCCCAAATGACATCTAGTCAATCCCCATTCATCCATAGAAGAATGTGAATGGTTGAAGGGACCCCCAAAGGACATCAAGTCCATCCCCATTTAGCCGTAAAGGAATTCCTGGACCATAAGAATTGGAAGGGACCCCTAGAGGTCATCTAGTCATGAGTTCTAGGAGTGAAAGATTGGCATTCTATCTCTCTTCTCTTTCTCTTTGATGCCAGAACACCCCACTTTGACCCCAAAGGAGTGTTTCCAGCGCATCAGCCGGCGTTTGCGGACAACGCTGAAGCGCAGCCGGATCCCCAGGGTAAAGTATTATTTCTTTGCTTATTTTTTTGCCACCTACTTGAGAGTTCTGGTTATCTGAATGTCTGTTATGATTATTACCCAGTATTGTCCAGGTATGTATTTTCTTTGTGGCTCTTTCTTTCCTTCTTCTGTTTTCCTCATACAGCTTCTCCCTCCGTTCATCCCTTCCTCCCTTTCTCATTCCTTCTTTTTTTTCTGACTCCATCCCTTTCCTCATCCCTTTTCTCCTTTTCTTCCCATCTTCCTTTTAATTTCTTCCCTCCCTTTTCTGACTTCTCCCTTCTTCCCTTCCTTCCTCTTTCCTTCCTTCATTCCTTTTCCTAATTAACATGGCAATCTGCCAGGCTCCCTTTGGGAAACTTGTTTAAAATACTACAATTATTAAAGTAAGTGAGAAAAAAACACTTTTAGGGTGAGCAAAGGCTGCAATATTATTATTATTATTATTATTATTATTATTATTAATACGAATGGAAATTACTATATAACTACCATATTAATATTAATTACAATATAGAGTAATAATAATAACTGTAATAATATAATATTATACTATACTAATTTTAATTAGTATAGTATAATAATATAGTATTATTACAGTAATTATTAATATATTATACTATAATAATATAGTATTATAGTTTAACCCCGGTGACGCAGTGGGTTAAACAGCTGAGCCGCTAAAGTTGCTGATCGAAAGGTTGGCAGTTCGAATCCTGGGAGCTGGGTGAGCTCCTGCTGTTAGCCCCAGCTTCTGCTAACCTAGCAGTTCGAAAACATGTAAATGTGAGTAGATCAATAGGTATCGCAGAGGCTAACAGTAGGAGATCTCCCCACTCCCAGATTCAGACCACTGACCTTTCGGTCAGTTTAACCCGCTGCACCACCAAAGCTCCCTTATATTGTTATACTGAATTACTCCATTGTAATTAATATTCATATACTACATTATTATACTATATTAATATTAATTACAATGGAGTAACCCGGTAGTACAGTGGGTTAAATCGCAGAGCTGCTGAACTTGCTGACTGAAAGGTCAGTGGTCTGAATCCGGGAGTGGAATCTACCTGCTGTTAGCCCCTGCGGTACCTATTGATCTACTCACATTTACATGTTTTCGCACCACCTCCCAGAGTCGGACACCACTGGACTTTATGTCAAGGGGAAAACCTTTACCTTTACCTTAATAATAGTAACAACTGTATAATAACACTATATTATTATACTATATCAATATTGCTTACAATAGAATAACAATAATTCTATAATACTGTATTATTATCATTATTATTGCTATTTCTATCCAGCTTTCTTCTCTAGAACGAGACTTAAAGCAGCTTGAGCCAGGCCCCTTTCTCTTGGATTTCATAACCCATCCTTTCTTCCACCTGCCTGGCTGGGAATGATGGGATTTGCAGTACATTCTTTGCTTTGAAAAGGCTTTCTTTTTGCTTTCTTGGAAGGAAACCCTGGAAGGTTTGGAAGAGGACTTGCTGGCCTTCTTCTCCGCCAACCCACACGCCGTTTACACCGCGATGATGGACGACAGGTAATGTTTACAATGAGATTGAGGTATAGAACAAAAATAGAAAAATATATGGAATTGGAGTCTACTCTTTTTAGGACCTTTTAAAAAGGCTTTAAAATCCTCTTTTTCCCTTTGTTATTTCCATTGCAGCTTCCAGCGGCTCCTGCTCCATGCTCTTTGCCAATATATGGACCTCAACTCCGCCAGTGAGAAAATCCCAATTTTCTAATCTATTTTGCAACTGGAGGCTCGTTTCTCCATCATTGTTACAGCTGTCAGGATGAAACTTGGCATACGTGTAGGCAACACTTTTGACTCTAAGCCCACCAAGTTTCAGAACGTTTTGGTCATCCACTGATTTTTAGGAATTTTTAAAAGGTTTTACACGTCAGCTTTGCAGAAAGCCATGTGATAGGCTAACAAGGAAAAAAGAAACAGCGTGCAACAGCTGTTGTCAATTACATCATCCCCATCTATTGGACTCGAGGTTTGTTTCTCCATCATTTTTATGACTGTCAGGATGAAACTTGGCACACTTGTAAGCAACACTTATGACTTTAAGCCTGCCAAATTTCAGAATGTTTCGATCATCTGCAGATTTTAAGGATTTTTTAAAGGTTTTACAAATCAAAGGAGGAGCTTTGCAGGAAGTTGTGTGATTGGCTGACAAAGAAAAACGAAACAGTGTGCAGCCCCCTCCATTGGGCTCGAGGCTTGTTTCTCCATCATTTTTATGGCTATCAGGATGAAACTTGGCACACTCGTACGCAACATTGACAACTTTATGCCTGCCAAGTTTCAGACTGTTTCGATCATCTGCAGATTTTTAGGATTTTTTAAAGGTTTTACAAATCAAAGGAGGAGCTTTGCAGAAAGCTGTGTGATTGGCTGACAAAGAAAAACGAAACAGTGTGCAGCCCCCTCCATTGGGTTCGAGGCTTGTTTCTCCATCATTTTTATGGCTATCAGGATGAAACTTGGCACACTCATACGCAACATTGACAACTTTATGCCTGCCAAGTTTCAGAATGTTTCAGTCATCCTCTGATTTTTAGGATTTTAAAAGAGGTTTTACAAATCAAAGGAGGAGCCCGGCTTTGCAGAAGGCTGTGTGATTGGCTGACAAGGAAAAATAAAAAACAGGCCATAGACTTCTTTCTCATTTTCCCCATTAAAAATGCTTTCTTCTTTTTTGATTTTAATTCTGTTTCAGGTGCCGATCACGAAGGCCAGCGGCAAATGAAGGTCAGCAACAAGCGCCAGGATTTCTGGCGCCCGCAGCTCCTCCTTTCGGCCTACCTGGAGCAGATGAGCTCACGGGGACGATGGGACCTCTAACCCTTTTCTGAATGGGTTTTTTTAATGCCATAAACAGGATCGATTCATAGGTTATTATATATATATATCAAAACCTGACATTTTTGGGCATGTCTCCAAGCTGTGGATGAATTTCTGTGTGTATCTCAAGTGGCAAAATCATTTTTTAAAAATACATCCAATGGCAAAATCAGTTATATATACATTCTATACAAAATCACTTTTTGGGACTCTTTTCCCCTGAAATCCAGTGGCCCGGGGGGGGGGGGGGTTGTGTTCAATTTTGGGATGGATTCCAAGTTGTGGGTGATAGGAAACTCAGTCATTCATATGTGTGTGTGTGTTTATGTGTCAAATTGTGATGATTTTTTGCAGAAACCATTTATAGAATCGCCTCACTATTTCACACTTGTCTGGCTTCAATCCGTGGATGATGGGATTTCTCTTTTTTTGGTGCTATGGTAAAAAAGAAGCACAACCCTTTGGGAGTCTTTATAAAGTGTTTATAGAGACGATCTTTTATAAATATATATTAAATGAGTGTATATACCCAGGAAATACCTTCTCCTCTCTCTTCATTCCTTCCTTTTTTATTCCCTACCCCCTTTCTTTCGCCACTGTTCTCTTCCTTCCTTCCTTCCTTCTTTTTCTCCTTCTTTTCTCTTTTCTTCTTTCTGTTGCTTTCCTTCCCTTTCCTCATACCGTTCCCCCTTTCCTTCTCCCTTCCTTTCCCTTCTTTTTTCTCTTTCATTCCTTCCTCCCTTTCCATTTTCTCTTCCTTCCTTCTTTTCTTGCTTTCCCTCACATACCTTCCCTCACTTATTTCTTTTCTTATTTCCTTTCCCCATCTGTCTCTCTTCCCTCCTTTCTTTCTTTTGCTTTCTTCCTTTCTTTTCCCGTCTTTCTCTCTCTTCTTCCTTCCTTTCATTTTCTTTCTTTCCCTCTTCTCCTTCCTTTCCTTCCTTCTTCCTTTCTGTCTTCCTTTCTGTTTCTTCCTTCCTTTTCCTATCTTTTTCTCTCTTTCCCCTTTTTTCTTTCTTTTTCTTTCCCTCTTCCCTTTTCTATTTTTTTTCTTTTCCCTCCCCTTCCTTCCTTCCTTCCTTCCTTCCTTCCTTCCTTCCTTCCTTCCTTCCTTCCTTCCTTCCTTTCTCTCTCTTTCTCTCCCTCCCTCCCTCCCTCCCTCACTTCCTTTCCTTTTCTCTTTTCCTTCTTTCTTTTTCTTTCCTTTTTCTTCCTTCCTTCCCCCATCTTTTTCTCTCCTCCCTCCTTTCTTCCTTCTTTCTTTCTTCCTTGCTTTATCTTCCTTCCTTTTTCTATCTTCCCTCTTTTCTTTCTTTCTTTTTCTTCCCTTCCCTTCCCCATCTTTTTTCTCTTGCCTACTTCCTTCCTTCCATCCTTCCTTCCTTTTTAAATTTCTTTTTCTTCCTCCCTTTTCCCATCTTTCTCTCTCCCCCCTTTTCTTTCTTTCTTTCTTTCTTTCTTTATTTTCTTCCTTTCCTTTCCCATCGTCCCCCCTTCCTTAATTTTTTTCTTGCTCTTCCCTTCTTTCTTCTCTTCACTCCCTTCATAGGTTTTCCTATTTCCTTTCTCTTCCTTCTTCTTTTTCCTTCCTTTCTTCTTCCCTTCCCTTCCTTCATTCACATGTTACAGTCAATCGGATTTGCTTACTTTCTTTCCCAGTGACATCACAGAGGGCCACTTCACCTATCAACAGCCAACTTGCTTCCATCCTTTTCTTCCCTTCTTCTCTGGGGTAAAATATCTTAATAGAATATGTCCATTCAGGGCATGTTATAACCTTGCTTTTTTTTTGCTCTTGGAATCTGGGTTCAATTTATTCTGCCTGTGAATCAACCAAAAAATTGCGTTTGGGGTTGCAAAGTTTTAATTCTATCCCAGAATATTTGCTTTCGAAAGAATAATTGCAAAATGCCAATCGGGCCTTCCTTAACTATTTTTTGTTTTTGGCTTCCGATGTTTGCAAAAACCAATATTTATACCGCCGATTTTGTGTAAATAATAAATATGAAAGCTTTTAAGAGAGGCCGCCCTCCTTGTTGTGGTTTTTAAATTAATATTATAAATGTAAACAAACGCACGAGTGGAAATTGAATACAAGACGGGAATGTGATGCTGCAGCAAAGAAGGCGAAAAAGAGCCTTTATCTAGTCCAGCCTAGAGTTGGAAGATGCCATCTAGTCCAGCCTGAATATAGGAAGGGTACCATCTAGTCCTGCCTAGAGCTGTAATGGGCACCCAGAGGCCATCTAGTCATGCCTAGAACTGGAAGGGGGACTCAGAGGCCATCTAGTTGAGCCTAGAGATAGGAGGGTTACCATCTAACCCTGCCTAGAATTGGAAGGGGGAACCCAGAGGCCATCTAGTTCAACCTAGAGATGGAAGGGGCAGCCAGAGGCCATCTTGTCCAGCCTAGAGATAGGAGGGCAACCATCTAGCCCTGCCTAGAATTGGAAGGGGCACCCAGAGGCCACGTAATTGTGCCTAGAATTGGAAGAGGCACCCAGAGGCCATCTAGTCCAGCCTAGAGATGGAAGGGGCACCCAGACACCACGTAATTGTGCCTGGAATTGGAAGGGGCACACAGAGGCCACGTAATTGTGCCTGGAATTGGAAGGGGCACAGAGGCCGCGTAACTGTGCCTGGAATTGGAAGGGCACCCAGAGGCCATCTAGTCCAGCCTAGAGATGGAAGGGGCACCCAGAGGCCACGTAATTGTGCCTAGAATTGGAAGAGGCACCCAGAGGCCATCTAGTCCAGCCTAGAGATGGAAGGGGCACCCAGAGGCCACGTAATTGTGCCTAGAATTGGAAGAGGCACCCAGAGGCCATCTAGTCCAGCCTAGAGATGGAAGGGGCACCCAGAGACCATTAGTCATGCCTAGAATTGGAAGGGTTGCCATCTAGCCCTGCCTAGAGCTGGAAGGGGAACCCAGAGGCCATCTAGTCATGCCTAGAGCTGGAAGGGGGACCCAGAGGCCATCTTATCCAGCCTAGAGATAGGAGGGTTACCATCTAGCCCTGCCTAGAATTGGAAGGGGAACCCAGAGGCCATCTAGCCCTGCCTAGAGCTGGAAGGGGAACCCAGAGGCTATCTAGTCCTGCCTAGAGTTGGAAGGGGAACTCAGAAGCCATCTAGTCCTGCCTAGAGATGGAAGGGGCACCCAGAGGCCACCTAGTCATGCCTAGAATTGGAAGGGACACCCAGAGGCCATCTAGTCCAGCCTAGAGATAGAAGAGTTTCCATCTTGTCATGCCTAGAATTGGAAGGGAAACCCAGAGGCCACCTAGTCCATAGCTTCTTTATTCTTGATTTGGGACCCTCTTTGAGAGTGTCAAAAATAGTGTGTTAATTGCCACCTAGTGGCTGTTTGAAACATTTACACAAATCAGATCCTTCGGCTGTAAACTAAGGTTTCCACCATGGCATAGAAAAGATTGCAGATAGTCTGCGTCCTCCAGTGTCAAATATCTAGCATTTGAGCCACAGCAGAGATACAGCCTTCCAAATTTCCCCAAACTCCACTCTGCTATTTCACCATCGTCCAGTAGGCGTCGCTGTTTTCATACAAAAAATCCATCTTTATATTCTGTACTGTAGTATTAATATGACTCTTGGAGACAGGGGTTCGAATCCCACTGGGGGAGAAATTCAAAAATCATTCAAAACAATTATTTGCTATCCTGCAACTATATATATTACATGCCCCATCATCCCAGGCCATCGACTATAATACCCATCACCCTTAGCTCAGTGCAGCCTGGGATGATGGGACATGTAGTCTACCTTATCTAGGGGAAGTTAGGGAAGTCTCTTTTTCAAGAAAAGGGAAAAGAAATTGCAAAGAAGGAGAAACGAGGAACTGACTTTATTACAGTCAGGTTTTTAGGGACCGTTTGCAAAGAGACTTCCTATTAAAATGTGGAATATTTTTCAGGGTTTTGTGTTTGTATATATATGTGTGTGTGTGTGTGTGTATAATATATATAAAGGAAAAAGGCTGGAGGAGAAAATAGTAATAAATAATGATGATGAAATAAGGCAGCAATTTCAAGTAAAACTACACCTCCCAGGATCCCTTAGTAAAACTACGCTTCCCTGGGTCCCTTAGTAAAACTACACCTCCAAGGGATCCCTTAATAAAACTACATCCCCAAGGAACCCTTAGTAGAACTACATCTCGCAGGGATTCCTTAGGAAAACTTTATCTCCCTGAGATCCCTTAGTAAAACTACATCTCCCAGGGATCCCTTAGTAAACGTATACCTCCCAGGTTACCTTAGTAAAACTACATCTCCCAGGGATCACTTAGTAAAACTACACCTCCTAGGGACCCTTAGTAAAACTACACACTCCAGGGATCCCTTAGTAAAACTACACATCTCAGAAATCCCTTAGTAAAACGACATCTCCCAGGATCCCTTAGTAAAACTACATTCCCAGGGTCCTGTAGTAAAACTACACCTCCCAGGGATCCCTTAGTAGAAATACATCTCCCAGTGATCCCTTAGTAAAACTACACCTCCCAGGGATCCCTTAGTAAAACTACACTTCCCAGGGTCTGTTAGTAAAACTACACCTCCCAGGATCCCTTAGTAAAACTACACCTCCCAGGATCCCTTAGTAAAACCACATCTCCCAGGGATCCCTCAGTAAAGTTACACCTCCCAGGATCCTTTAGTAAAACTGCACTTCCCAAGGTCCCTTAGTAAAACTACACCTCCCAGTGTCCATTAGTAAAACTACATCTCCCGGGTCCCTTAGTAAAACACCACCTCCCAGGGATCCCTTAGTAGAACTACATCTCCCAGGGATCCCTTAGTAAAATTACACCTCCCAGGATCCTTTAGTAAAACTACACCTCCCAGTGTCCATTAGTAAAACTACATCTCCCGGGTCCCTTAGTAAAACCCCACCTCCCAGGGATCCCTTAGTAGAACTACATCTCCCATGGATCCCTTAGTAAAACTATACCTCCCAGGCTCCCTTAGTAAAACTACACCTCCCAAGATCCCTTAGTAAAACTGCACCTCCCAGGGATCCCTTAGTAAAACTACACCTCCCAGGACCCTTTAGTAAAACTGCACTTCCCAAGGTCCCTTAGTAAAACTACATCTCCCAGGGATCCTTTAGTAAAACTACTCTTCCCAAGGTCCCTTAGTAAAACCACATCTCCCAGGGTCCCTTCGGAAAACTACATCTCCCAGAATCCCTTAGCATGGAGCCAGGGCAGTTAAAATGAGACCAGTCTGCGTTTTGGCCCAAGGGGATGAAACTCGTTCGTTTTTTAAAAAATTTTCACGTTTTCCCCTGGGTTTGGGAATTGGGCGACGTCCCCTTAGGAACCTGATTCACCCGATCGGAATTTGCATCTGACTGCTCTTTGGTCACCCGCCCGGATTTGTCCGCGGGGGTCCTATCGCCCGCCGGCACACCAAGCAAGCCAGAAGAAGGAAGGAAGGAAGGAGGCCATGCCAATGCAACTTCGCCCTTTGCAAGTTGCCAGCTTGCTTTGAAAAGAAAGGGGGGAAAAGGGGGAAAGAGAGGGAGGAAAGGAAGAGGGAAAGAAGGAAGGAAGCCAAGAAAGGAAAGGAGAGAAGAAGGAACTGCAGGAGATCAATTGGCCAACATGGGGCAACCCCACCCCTTTCTTTGCAAGGTATGTATTGGGGGGATTGAGGGTCTGATCTCCCCCATAAGTGTTTATTTGCCCCCCACCCCCTATTGCAATTGGGATCATTTTGCACTTTTCCTTTTTGCAAAGACATTCCTTTACTTCCTATGAGCCTCATTTCCTTTTTTGGGCAGTTTGATCTTCTTTTTCTCCCCAAATATGCAAATTTTCTAACACCCCCCCCCCCTTTAGAAAATTGTGTTGCTTCCTGGTTGGGTTTTGCAACCCTGGCTGTTTAGTCCTGCCATTGTAATGCCCGATTTTCCTGGATTTTTCTGGGCCCAGGCCAAGGTTTTTATTTGAGGATTTTGGAAAATTCCAATTCTTGGGCCAGATTGCAGCACTATATATGCAACACTATATGCAATATATTACATTTCTGGTGGGAATGGTCTTTTTTTTACTGATTTTTGTAAAAAAAATACCCTTGTTATCATTCATCCTGTGTTAATGTTTGCATATTTGCAGGTTTTTAAATGGTAAACCAAATAAACAACAATAAATACTTGATCCAAGGCCACCTTTCTTTCCCCAGCATTTAATATTATTATTATTATTATTATTATTATTATTATTGCTCATCTTTCTATCTATTTGGTCCAAGGCCACCTTTCTTTCCCCAGCTCATTAGGCATTTTTATTATTATTATTATTATTATTATTATTATTATTATTATTATTATTATTGCTCATCTTTCTATCTATTTGGTCCAAGGCTGCCTTTCTTTCCTCAAGTTCATTAGGCATTTTGTATTATTATTATTATTATTATTATTATTATTATTATTATTATTGCTCATCTTTCTATCTATTTGGTCCAAGGCCACCTTTCTTTCCTCATTAGGCATTTGTATTATTATTATTATTATTATTATTATTATTATTATTATTATTATTATTGCTCATCTTTCTATCTATTTGGTCCAAGGCCACCTTTCTTTCCCCAGCTCATTAGGCATTTTGTTTATTATTATTATTATTATTATTATTATTATTATTATTATTATTATTATTGCTCATCTTTCTATCTATTTGGTCCAAGGCCACCTTTCTTTCCTCATTAGGCATTTTATATTATTATTATTATTATTATTATTATTATTATTATTATTATTGCTCATTTTTCTATCTATTTGGTCCAAGGCCACCTTTCTTTCCTCATTAGGCATTTTATATTATTATTATTATTATTTTTATTATTGCTCATCTTTCTATCTATTTGG